CACAAAATGTCCATAACAGAAAAATTCGCATAGGCAGGAATTAGATGAATAGTGGCCCAAGGGGAGAATGAAGAGTAATTGCGAACAGCTGTAAGGTGTCTTTTGGGGGCAAAAGAAACCTTCTGGAATTGGGTAGTGCTGGCAATTGAGCAATGCTGTATAATTTGATTAATGGGTTAATTTGTTTTAATTTAAGCAGCCGAGAGACATCTGTAGAAAGAAGCACACTCAAGGAGAGAGAGCTTCCACTTGCCTGTTCACCACGAGGATAAGTGCCTTCCCCAATCTTGTACATTTTTTTAAATATATATTTATTTTTTAATTGTTATTAACATTGTATTATGTGATACAGTTTTATAGGCACTGGGGATTCCCCCCACCCCTCCCACAACCCTCCCCCAATAGTGGATTCCTCCACCTTGCTGCATAACCACAGTTCAAGTTCAGTTGAGATTCCTTCATTGCAAGCATATACCTAGCATAAAGTCCAGCATCTTATTGTCCAGATAAGTTCAGTGGCTTCTTGGGGAGACCTTCTCTGGTCTGAAGGTAGAGCTAACAGAGTAAAGTTCTGGTCAACTAAAAGCCCCAACATAACATCAGCATCAATATACAATGTTACAGAATTAATTGACATAGTATTGAGTAAACAATATGTTAAAAATAATGCAAGTTCAATTCTTCAAAACATCTGGGTTGAGACAGTATCAATGACAAGTTCAAAAAGTAACAAACAACCAAACAAAAATTTCAGGTTAAATCAAGGCAAACATGTGGTATCTAACCTTTTGGGATTCGCTCATTTCCCTTAGTATTATAGTTTCCAGTTGGGCCCATTTAGTCACAAAGAACTGCATTTTAAAAGGGAAATTTTTATGGCCTGTGTATTTCATCCAAATAATTCAATCACGCAAGCCTGCTAAAATATTGTGCCAAGTTTCTGGGGAAACCTTGTAAGGCCATTTTCCATGGGCCACCATCTCACTGCCCCATGCATGTACCTACACTGTTTTGTCAAGAAACTTACCATTTGCTTACCACCTGTTTGTCTCACCAAGTGACTAGGAAAATAATGCCTTCAAGAGGGCAACACAGGAATTGCCCAGCCATTTTCTAACTGGTTAGAGTGTACCAATGGGAATGGTCTCCTGCAGTTTCCTGCCCAGATAAGGAGGAGCCAGGGAACCCTTAAAAACCTAAGACACACTAGCCCAGCATGGTATCCCAGCAGCTAATGTCTTCGCCTTGGACGTGTCGGGATCCTATTTGTGACCTGGCTGCTCCACTTCCCATCCAGCTCCCTGTAAGTGACCTGGGAAAGCAGTCCAGCATGGCCCAAAGCCTTGGGACCTTGCATCCACATGGCAGACCCAGAAGAAGCTCCTGGCTTTGGACCAGCTCAGCTCTGACTGTGGCAGCCACTTAGGAAGTAAATCAATGGCTGGAAGATCTTTCTCTCTGTCACTCTTTCTCTGTAAATCTGACTTTGCAATAAATAAAATCTAAAAAAACCTCTGACACTTCTGGTAACTACAGTGTCTTTGCTCTCCATTCAAGATACACCCATTTCCTAGGAAGAGTTTCCCTTTTCCTTCTTCTGTTCATGTTCACTTGTTCACTTCCAAATAAAACTTCTTAGTGTGCAACCAATTCCTGACTTTTTATTTCTATACTAAGCTGGGGAAAGACCCCAATAAGCATTGCCAGCACAATGTTTTAAGAACAAGCCTACATGGGCCCGGCGCGGTGGCGCAAATTGTTAAGGTCCTCGCCTTGCACGCCCGGGATCCCATATGGGTGCCGGTTCTATCCTGGCAGCCCCGCTTCCCATCCAGCTCCCTGCCTGTGGCCTGGGAAAGCAGTCGAGGATGGCCCAAAGCCTTGGGACCTTGCACCCACGCTCACTTGGAGAGTGAATCATCGGATGGAAGATCTTCCTTTCTGTCTCTCCTCTCTGTATATCTGCCTTTCCAATAAAATATAATAAAAATAAATCTTAAAAAAAAAGAACAAGCCTACACACAGAGATAAATATGACCTTTTATTGTCAAATTCCATAGTGCTAAGTTAAATACAATATGCCAGACATAAGCTTAAATAGATACATACTTTTAAAATGAAACACATTTTAAATCATAATTTAAATAACTTGATAAAACCCAAGTGCAGAGTATATTTTATTCACACAATTGTTTATGCCGCTACCTGTAAAATATTTATACCATTTGAACATCTCAGAGGAAATAAGAATTCATGCTATAGGTAGCATAATCCCAGTACAGTCAGCCCTCAGTGTCCACAGATTTATGTCCGTGTAGTCAACCAATCATGGGTATAAAATATTTTTAATTGTGCGTGTGCTGAATGCCTTCAGAATTTTCTCATTGTCATTATCCCCTAAACTACACATTATAACAAATATTTTCATCACATTTATAGTGCACTAGGTATTATAATGTAGAGATGATTTAAAGCTTAAGGGAATATGTGCTATACATATTATATCTCAAATACTATATCATTTTATGGAATGGACTTGAGTATCTAAAATTTTGCTATCTACAAAGAATCCTAGAACCAATCTCCAGTAGTATCAGAGACAATTATGCATTTTTAACTCTCTTGTTTCCCAGAGTTAATCTGATTTTCAAGAAAAAAGAAAGAAAGAAAAAGAAAGAAAGAAAAAGAAAACCCCTCTGCTACTCTGGTACCTGTCACACTTTCCTAGTTATCATCAACTTTGTTATCATCAATGCTTAGCCAGCCCTGCTCTGAAACTTTTGTTTTCCGCACCGAAAAGCATGGGAAAGCTTGTGCTCTGATCCACAGTTATGAGGCGGGGCAACTTTGTTAATTACTAACCCAAAATACCTTATTGAGAGTGATTGACTGATAGCTGGGATTTGAAATGTATAAATAAGCATGCTCACACAGCATTTCCTTTCTTTCAGAAAAGCCTAAAATGCAAAATAAAATAACTAGGGAATAATAATTACACATCTTCATTTCAGAAAAAAATCAATAGAACCTTTATGCTGTGAATTTCTGTCCAGTCTTGTGAATATACAAGGATTACCTGTTTACACATGACATCTGACAAATTTCTGTGAAAAAACAAAGCACACCACATCTCAACATGTTTTCTCAACAAAAGACACTCATAAAATTGTACACCTTTGCACTTTATTTACATCAGAACATTTGGTCTCACGTTTTTCCAATCGTAAAAGCACACATATTTCTGAAAAAAAAAATCCTGACAATATGCAAACCTTCTACCAAGTTTTGTGCTCCTGTTAGTACCATATTTTAAAAACAGCTATATATTTTTTTTCCATTAGAAATGCCCACTGGTTAACATTATGCAATCCTAGGAGACAATGCTTTTCCTCTTTTAAAAGAAATTTGCTAAGTATGTAGCATCAGATTTTGTTAATAAACCAAGAGGTGGTCATTTAGGGTAAATAACTTCTCCTACTACAGTCCACAATATGTTAGAAAATTTTCAATACCTATAACACCTCTACTGGATTAAGAGTTATGCAAGAGTATGCCATAGTCAATATAAATTTAAAAAATGCAGTCTGTAAGAACACTCTAAAAAATATGTTGAATCCCATAGGGATAAAGATGAAAACAGCTGTTTTTAGTAACCCTTACACAGAGCATTAAGTAGGATTTGCACCTTGCACCATTAACTTGTATCATTTTTCAAGTTACAACGCAATATTTGACCAATTTGCTGCCTATTGAGCAGAGGACAGAGTTAGCAAAGGAACACTGAGGTTCCAGACTCCAGTCCCTGCAGCTTTGTTCGAAACTTTTCATTGAGCAGCCTTCAAATGCTTGGTCCTGAGAAAAGGGAGGAGAAATCTGAGTCCTGTTGGTGAAAGGATGGCCGTTCTACCGTATTTAGGTCCATTGAAATCAAGGGTTCTCATAGCCCTGTTTTAAGGGCAGCGGTTACAGTAGATGAGAAGGGCCAAAGACCCTAAGGAAGTTCTTCATATCTGCCATCTTCACATATTGCTCGAGGTCCTTGGATATGTTTCTTATTCCTATAAACATAAACATGCATGTTAACATCACACTAAATATACTGCAAGCAATAATAAATATACATGCTAGCCCAGACTGCTGTATTCATGCTTATGGGGGTAGTCCAAACATGAACACCAAATCCTATGCAGTTAGGACAGCACTCTGCACGACATTGTAGTAGTGATATGTGTCATCCTCTAGTCATCAAAACTTGTATAATGTACAACACGAAGAGTGAGTCCTAATAGAACCAGCAGATTTTAATGATAACGTGTTGATTTGAGCCCACCAATTATGAAATAAATGAATCATGCTAGCACAGATTGTCAATAATAGAGGGCATTAGAGGATGTGATGAGGACATACATTGAAATTCTTTATATTTCCTGATTAATTTTTCTATAATCCTCAAGCTTCACACACACACACACGCACGTGCACACACCACACACACACATACACACACACACACATTATTTTTTACTGGATTAGGGGAACATAACTCTTGCAAATTCCCACAAAGCACAGCTAACTGGCTAATAAAATCATCTCAAACCAGGCAGTCTGGATTTGAATCCTCATTATGTTGCTGACTAACTCTAGTGGTTAGGCAGTTACTTAATTTCTCTATGCCTCATTTACATGGTCTGTATAATGCAAAATTCAGTAACTGCCCCCATTTCCAGGCTTAGAACAGTTTCTAGAAATAGTGTCCTATAAAAGGGTGACTGTTGTCACTATCATCCTCTACAAACAAAATGACTCAATGAAACCAGATCTCAATCTTCTTCTGAAAAGAAATGAAGTTTTTTTGTTTTTTTGTTTTTTTTTTTTTACAAAATACCATGAAAATGCTGATGCCTTCCTTAGAGATCAGCAGATTCAGAGAGTTCAAGGGCAAACAAGAGCATGCATCATAGCCATGCCTGATTTTAAGATCTCACCTGATTCTCTGGAACTTAAATGAGGTTGGAAGGCACTGGGCAGTTTTCTTGTGATTCAAGGCCTGCATAGCTGCCAAAAAAAAAAAAAAAAAAAAAAAAAAAACGGATGAGAACACTATGTAAAGCATTGGTTTTCAACATGAAGAGAGAATAATGTGTAGAATATTTATAACATGCATTCTGTACTGGAATGCAGCTTACCTGGCAGGAACAAATTTCTTTGCTACAAAAAAAAAAAAAAAAGAAAAGAAAAGAAAAAAGAAAATCATTAATTTAAATAGCTTTTGAGAACAAATCAAATCCAGACACAATGTGACATGGCTCATAAAGGGTTACAAACTCAATGCCCTTGGGCCTCTACAACCAAGTTTGGTGGGGCAAAAACTGGTAAAATGCAAAGTTCACACCCTTCCAAAGGGCACGGTCACTACTCAACACCAGCAATGCTGCACGCTCAGTTTGTCAGATTCACCTTCCGATCTTTAATGAGGAGTTCACAGTCCAGATTCTTACGCTAAATTTTCTATTCTGAACACATGGGAATTTAAATCAGAAAATTTAAAATATCTGTAAGCTAAACAAATCATGGATGTGGCTATAAGAAGCATTTACAAATTCCTGATGGGATATCTCAGTCTATGTTCCAAGCCATCTCTTTAGGAAGCATCTTACTCATTTTCATTAGAACACTGAACATGGCAGCCTTCTTGTACCACTCCAGGGACATCACAGAATTCAATGCAAGTGGGCACCTCTTTGGGCAGCATAATTGCAATATATCATAAAACTTTTCCCACTCTGAGTTGTACTCTTTCCCTAAGATTTCTACTTAATTATAGTCAGTTTATTAGTGTTTGTCTAATAAATATGTTCTAGTTGCTATTTAAACTTGCAAGAGACACTGCCATTCATTAGATAGATGGATAGATAGATGGATAGATAGATAGATAGAAAGATAGAAAGATAAACAGCATCCCTCACCTTTTTTCCGAAAGTACTTCAGAAACCAAAGAAGAAATGAACTTAATGTCAGGAAGGAGGTTCCACCAACAGAAAGTCCAACTGCTAAGGCAACACCAGGCTCACTGGCTGCTAAGAAAATAAGGAGAAAACCATCATGAAAGGAACTGATTTCGAAATCCTTCTGTCCTATCCGCTTGACCTTTGTCTCTATACAGCAATTACTAAGAGCAGAAGAGTCATCTAGTTCATTGTGAGGCACAACCATGACAGCAGAATCCCTTTAAATCTTTCCCCTTTACTTTTGAGCCAATATCTCACTACTGCCGGACTGAATTCTAACTGATCAAGCTCTTTCATAAAAACCATGGCCCACCTTAGTCTCTTCTCTCTTTAATCTCTCTCTCTCTTTCTCTCTCTCCTTCCATTGTCACTCCTGTTACTCCCAGATCATCTTCTACTAAATGTCAGAATTCTACTCATCTCACTACCTTCTAATTTTACCCCTCTATTTCTGTAAGGCTAAACATCTATCAACTTGTTCATCTTATCAGTTTTTCTGCTTTGGACATAGGGTAGTTAACTATTATAGCCAGACAACTCTTACTGTCTCTAGTCCCCCAGACAATCATCATCAAGCAATTTATCACCTTCACAGGTAGGCAGCACCCCAGACCAGTGTCCCGTGACATCACACATCAACACTGAAGAGCCATTAAGGGTCCATCCTTCAGGGCATGTAAAATTGCACACAGTTCCAAACACAGGTTCTCTGCTGCAGTTCATGTTGATTTTTCCCAGAATATCCAGGCTTGGACATTGCACTGCTGCAAATAACAGGCACATGAGTAGTACTTACAAAAAAAAATACATTGAAATCTTTAAACCGGCTTAAGGGTCACAGGTCAATGTAATTTATGAGCACTATTTGATTTTCAGCAGGAAGGAAATGAGGATCAAGCCCTTTGGACTAATGTAGGGTTAGGAAATTAGGAAGCATTTCACCTGTACTCCACGAGTCTGACCTCAGCCTTACCGTGGCAGGAGGGCAGCTCCTGTGTCCACTGTCCTTGAGACGTGCATTTGAGTTGAGTGGGCCCATGTAATTCAAAGCCTTCCTTACACTTGAAAGTGCAAGAGGACTGATAGGTGAATTTCCCAGTGTGGGGACCAGTACAGCCCACCAAGCCATTCTCAAGTGTCTCTATAGGATCACATTTCACAGCTGGAAACAAAGAAGGGGAACATCAGAGAACATCAGAGCTTGGTCTGCAATAAGAAGCAAAAGATTTCTCAAGGTAGTCAAATGCCCAAGCTCACCAATAATTTCCTTTTATAAACAAGACTATGCCTTCACATGTTGGCTTCTCATTGTCCTACTCTCCTAGTTCCACTGGGAACTTTTGGGTCTCTAATACAATCTATGCTCACAGGTGAATTCACAGCTGGATGTACGTTGGAAACTTCCAGAAGCATTAGGAAGGCAATTCAAGTAGCCTTGCTTTAGGCTGAACAAGCCTATGCGTTGGAAAGCTGTGACTTCCAATGGATAATCAGAAAATATTGCTGTGGAATTGGGGAGTACTAAGCATTCGAAGAGTCGGTCCAGTTCACTTGGGACAAAGCAATGATCAGAGAATTGGAATTTTTTTCATTAATCCCTAAGCAACTTGGCTATGGTTTTGTCACATTCTAATCCTTTCGATGATGATGGCACACAACCAAGGATAGCTTGAACAGGAACAATGGTTCCTAAACATTGGCCTTCTGACATGCAAATGCACAAAATTATGGTCAAAGGAAAGACTTTATGCAGCAAGAAAGCAGATTTTGGATCCCAAATGCCTAACAGTAGCACAAAATATAAAGGAAATATGAAGACACTGTATCAAATTAATCTATTTACATTTTGGTTTTGGTGTTGTGGCTTTTTGCCATTGCAGCTCATTCTAGATGATGGCTGAGTCAAGTAATGTTAGTGCCTACTAAGACAGGTGCTTACTTGCAATATTCTTTCTCTTGCTTTAATATGACGTAAATTTCAATGTTCACATATGTATATATCAAGACTGCCTCTGTAAGTGACACCACGCTTAGAAATAGTATCATTACCATTCATTATGATGGTAATTTCAAAAGAAAGAGGTGAAAACATTTCAGATTTCATTAATATTTTCCTTATTTCTATTTGCAAAGGCTCTAAAATTATCTGTTTTAGATTAATAAATCTATTTCTTCTATACCAATATCTATCAAGCTGTGTTAACATAGCACAGTTAGATTAGCAAAACATTCATTCCTCTCCGTGGCCAAACTTTGGTTTAAAATTATGTGAATCTTAAATATTCAAATCTGATTTCTATGGTTAAAGTTGGACATTTAGTTTTATTTCACTGCCGAAGTCTGAAGATCACTGCACTTCAAGAAATGGAAGGCTCAAGAAGAGGCTGGCCACATACTGGCCACAAGTCATTGAGCCCTTCCTGAGGCTTGTGGATGATGCCACAAGACACAGCTATACCACACTGGACACATCGCATTAGCCAGTCTGGTTTGGCCATTTGTAGAATTAATTGAGAAAAAAATGTTTAGAGTAAATCTTGATGTGGAGCAACTCTACCTGTACATGTTGGCTTCTCATCATTCCAGCTCCCAGATGAGGTACACTGCAGGCTCCTGGTTCCCTGTAGTTTAAATCCTTCCTCACAGTCAAATACACAGGTTGTGTTCCATGGGGAGCTTTCTTGGCTTGGAGAACATTTTACATCTCCATTGGTAGGCTTTCCAATAGCATCACATTCAACCACTGGGGATTTGAAAGAGCACCATAAATTTTACAGAAGAGTAATACATTTGCTTTCTATTGAATTTAAAATTTAGACCAAGGTAAGGAAATTACTTCCCTAGAGTAGACTCGGAAGTCCTATGTCAATTCTTGGGGACTTGTACAACCATAATAAAGCTCTTACTCTTTGCTATTGAGTTTTTATCTTCTAACATTTTTACTTTGACTAGGCTGGGTAGGCTATGATATGCTTTATTGTAACACATAGGCAAAAATGAAAACAAAAAACAAATTCTACATCAGTACTTGTGATGGACTGTGATAGGAACAATATTGACATGCCCAATACTTTTAATATTCTATCATGGAAGGCCCTCAAGGTTACCCAGGTTCAAAAATATAGACTTGAAAGAGGAAAAAAGAGATTGAACGTGTCTTTTTGTCATAGCCAGGCAGAAAATAAAAATCTCACCCCAAGCATATATCAGATTTGCCAATAGGTTGACTGTTGATTATTTAAAACTTCATAAGAAGAACTTTCCCTGGAGTTTTGAAAACATTACAAATTGGACAGAAAATTAAGGCAAAGATGGATGGACTAGCCAATGCCCTGTGTGCTTCAAAGATTTACCATTGCAGGTTGCAGTGGGAGCACTCCACTGTCCTGAAGATGTACACCACGTGGTTTCTGTGCTGCTCGGCAAGTAGCCCTCTGCACAGGTAACAGAACAGGAAGAGTTGTAGCTGAAGGTCCCCAAAGGATGAACACAACTCAGGTTCCCATGCTGAGGTTTTACCTGAGCTTCACAGGTCACAACTGAAAAAGAAAAAAATTTAAATCAGGTCTGTTCATCTCTTACCCCGCATAGGTGAGAAGAACACTGGAAACGGTTATTTCATGCATTCCAGACACTGAGTAACCATAAAGTTACAAAGTCAGCAATATTTCATCTTCATTTTACAACAAGAAATCTGGGACCCAGAGAGCTTGCCTGCTCCTTGTCAAGATACCCTAATTCAATGAACGAATGAATATAGGACTTAAACCCACATGCGTCTGACTTCACCATTCCCCACACACACCAGAAAAAGGGCACACATGCTGACTCTGCCAAAGAAAGAGACGAGGACAAGACTCACCCTGCTCACACATGTGTCCACTGAAGCCAGGGTAGCAATTACAAGTGTAATTATTTATGGTCTCTACACATTCACCATGGCCACTGCAGGATGCTTGGGTACAGGCAGCTATGGAAAACACAATCCATGCGGAGGAGGGTTGTTACCATGCTGATAATGAGTTGCAATGAATTTACAATCCATACTATGCAACACGCATATTACTAATGCTTCAAGCTGCCAAATATTTTTTAAAATGCCAACTGTGAGGATTCAGGATCATCTGTTTTGAGTTTTTTTTGTGAGGGTCCATCCAGACCTCAGAGTACTGCTGTCACTGGCAAAACCTATCATAGACTGAAGACAGATAGCCTACAATAAATAAATAAACCAGTAACTAAAATACGCTTTTCAGATGAGAATACATTCTACATAGGCATAGCATATTAGACATTCTTGCCTGCATTCACTGAAAAAAAAAAAATCAGACTCTTGCACAGTTAGGCAAAAGATTTTAAACCATCTCTTTCCAAACATACAGTGGAGACTAATTTGTGCATGCTACAGATTTGTCAAGAGGCCCACAGGGTGGAACTGCCTCTGACTACTGCTTCAACCGTCCTACCTGTGTAGCACAAGGCAAGCTTCTTCTTGCTGCATCTCTCATCATTCCACATGCCTGTATCCTTGGGTCTCTTGATGTAGATCTCCACACAGTCTTCATTGTTTTGCTTATTGTTGGGTTCACCTGGAGCCCAGTTCTTGGCTTCATCGGTGAGAGGTTTTTGGGTCCCTACCCAGATCCACACATCGTTAACTTTTCTGATTCCAATCCAGTAATAACTTGGTGAATAGTCTAATATGGAATTTAAATAGTCAATCTCTTCTTTATTTTGAATGGCAACCAGATGTGTATATTTTTGCTGACAATAAGCGCTGGCCTCATCATAAGTCATGTTTTCTCCAGAGAAGTAGTAAGACCAGGTACTGCTCTCTTGAATGAGAAGCACTAGGACAGAAAGATGAAAGGAATGGTAGAGTTTAGTACCATTATAGTTTAATTCTGCTAGCCAGGCTTTTTGCTGTATTTCTGACACAGTCTGGACTTCCAACAACATTAAAAAAATTTTTTTTTTAAATAAGAAGAGGTATGTTGGAAGAAACTAGCATTTATTTTGTCTCTTGTGACTGCCCTTCCACTGGATACTTTAGCACAGTAGGCACCATAACCCAATAATATACTCACTTTGTGATTGAAAAGTCAAAATAACTGCTTTTCTGAGCACTCAGTTCAGATCACTGAACATTGTGTAATGCACTATATCTGAGCCAAGATGTTTAATCCTCACCAGGCCTCTGGGAGACAGATTATTTGTGACCAACACTGCATTCAGACTATTAGAAGTAAAGAAAATTGCCCCTTGCCAAGGGTGGAATATTGCAGGTAGAGGGCAGGAATGCTACTAATATCAGGCAAGTCGCAGGACAGCCTTGCACGAAGCATAATACTCTGATCCCAAACAAGAATAGCACTAGGATGATAGCCTAGTCTATTAGTATGGTCTAATTCATGATGCTAACTTACCAAAAGTGAGAATAGAGAGAAAATGCATGGGCATCATCACAATCAGTTCTTTTCACCAAAGCTGGATCTAAAAGTCTTCTCTGGGGAGTAAAAAAAGAAAGTACAAAATTCATTGTAGAAGGAAATCTCCAGGAGCCAGATACTCAAATAAGTCAACCATGATGTGTAAGGCAGCATCCTAAGATTTTGGAGATGTGATTCTGGTACCTCAGCCATTGTCTTCATAAACACTTCATAAACACTAACCTGAAGTAGTACAAAATTTAAGATATTCATAATGTAGGTCAAAGTAAAAAGACAGGTGTTGATACAATACATTAGCACTTGCACAAATCTTTTATAGGAAAGATTTTTCCACATTCATTGATTTTAATCATCTATGTCTCATAGCCCAAGCCCATCTTTGAAACGAATTCTGTACTTACCACTTTGGGAAGCACTAGTTTGGTAGGTAGCTTTCTCAGGGCAACCACCACGTTGTCCTGTGCCACACTAACAGTTTGATGCAGCCAAGCCCAGGACCTCTGAACACTGCTTTCACTGCCCAACTTTTATAGGGTGGCTTGCTTCCTGTGAATAATAGCAGGAAGTTGTCCAAATCCAGTAAAAAGGAAATTCCCAACAGTATCCAAAAACGTTTCCTGGGAATGTCCACAAACTAAAAGTTACAGTGATGTCAGATGCTCTGTCCCTCAAAATAACTTGCTTTGCCCATACCTTAACATGTAATCTTTATTAACATACCACAAATGCATGATTTTCAACTGTAATAACATAAAGTCTATATCTTTAAAAAGTGTTAAAACTTGATTTGCATTAAAATCTCTCATGTAATTGTGGCCATAGTCAGAATTTCATAAACATGGGAATAAACTGAGACTAGTTTAGTCATCCATCAACTACTGTTCAGCATTCTCATCCACTCACTTTTAATTTTTCTTTCACCTAGTTACATCATTCTAATATGTACTATCACACAAAGGAATGGATCACAGTTGAACTTTAATCCTTAAATTCTATACACTACTTGTGCTTAAATCACTAAAAATAATATCTTTCACTCAGCATTGAAAATAATGCCTTAGGGTGGGTGTTTAGGCTAGTGATTAAAATTCCTGTGTCCCACATCAGAGTACTTGGGTTCCATTTCTAGCTCAGACTCCTGATTCCATTTCCCTGTAAATACAGACAGTATTGGGATGCTGTCACCCACATGGAAAATCTGGGTTGAGTTTTCAGCACCAGGCTTCAGCCTGGCCCAACCCGGGAGGCATTTAGAGGAGTAAACTAACAAATCGAAGCTCTCTCTCTCTTTCTCTCTGCTTGTGTCCCTATTTTTTTCCTAAAAAAAAAAAAATAAGAAGTATATCTATGTTTTTTTTATTTTAAAAAATGGAAAATAGATTCAAATATTCATGTTGAGGAAAATAGTCATAGTCTATTACTGAAACAAAGATAAATGTCAAATGCACTTATTTAGTTTACTCCATTTTTAAAAAAAAATTTAGCTTACGAATACTCAGAGAAAAACATCTGCACCAAAATATTAGCAGTGATTATCCCTTTCTGCAAAATTTTGAATGATCTTTACATCTTCCACCAGTATTTTAAGCATTTTTCAATGTTTACAATGATCTTTTTTCTTTTTTTTTTTTTTGCTTCATACTAAACTGTCTTTAAAAACCTATGTACAAATGCAACTGAAAGAGAACCATATCAATAATATCCTAACTTCTTATTCTTTATCTTGACATTTCTTTTGGATAACTGTAAAGCAGGTTCATATTCCATAGCAGCATCTTATCCAATTTAAATGACAAAGACAATAAATGGGGATCATTATAACTTCCATATTATTTAGGAATTCCGTATTATGTAGAGATTAAGTCAAGCTACTATTCTATGGATACGATCATTCTTCTTTTAAGAAAAGAGGGTTTAAGAAGTCCCTTCAGCCATCATGAGAGATGATGAAAGGCCTATTTTGTCATAGCATTGGCTGTTTTTGCATTCAAAAAAGCAGCAATACTAGAGCCAAGAAAAAAGAAAAAAGAAAAATTCCAGTGAATACAACTGTTTTTTTTTTAAAGAAAACTGTTTAATTTAATGCAACTCCTATTGAAAATCCAACTTTTACCTAAAGATTTGATTTTTTTTTAAGATTTATTTATTTAATTTGAAAGGCTGGATGACAGAAGGAGGGAAATTGAGAGTGGAGACAGATACAAAGAGATGGAGTGAGACTCTTGCTCTACTGGCTGGGCCAGGTCCAAGCCAGGAGGCAAGAATTTCATCAAGGTCTTCCAGGTGGCTGGCAGAGGCCCAGCCACTGGTGTCATCATTGCCTCACAGGAAGTTGGATTAGAAGCCTGGGCTCTATACCTGAACCCAGAATTATGATGCAGAATACAGGCATTCCAAGTAGAAGCTTTACCCACAGTGCCACAACACTGTCCTCATAACAGAAATTTTGGAACCTCCTCTTTCCCACTCTCTTTACATTATATAGATACTGAAATGATTTCAACTCTTTCCAAAAATTATTTATTTGTATTTGATAGGCAGATTACAGAGAAAAGGAGACAGAAAGATCTCGGCCATCAATCCATGATTCCAAGTCTTTATCCCACTTTACTCAGAAAAATAAAATGGTGGGTGATCAATAAACATGCCCGAGAAATCACTCACACAAGCTTATTTAAATATTAGGGAAGGATGTGAAACCGATTCATATGTAATCTGCCTGTTCCACTTTATTTTAATAAATTACAATCTATATGATCGGCACCTTGGCATAGCAAGCTAACTCACCCATGGCACCACTTCGTATCCCGGCTGCTCACTTCTGATCCAGCTCTTTTTTAATGGCCTGGAAAAGCAACAGAGGCTGGATCAGGTCCTTTGGCCCGTCCACCCACATGGGAGACTAGGAAGAAGCTCGTGGCTCCCTGCTTTGGATCGGTTCAGCTATGGCCATTGCAGCCATTTGGGAAGTGAACCAGTAGAAGAAATATCTCTCTCCCTTTCTCTCCTTCTCTCTGTAACTCTGCCTTTCAAATAAAATAAGTCATTTACATAAATAAATAAATAAATTACAATCTACAATATGCTATTAAATTTTGAAAAAGCATCGTCAAATGCACATTGTAGTCAAATATTGAAACAAATATGTATAACATATTAAAGTAAAACACCGAATAATTATTCTTGAAATAGATATAAGTCATAAATAACCCTTGATAACTATTTATTATTGTGAAGGATACAGAGGAACTGGGCTGCAATCATTGATAGTCACTCCCTGTACAGTGAAAGCTGCTTTATTCTTCAGTTACTTTTCGTAGCAGAGCATTGTCACCAAGGCCAGCATGTTCCCAGTGGATGCCTCTGACTCGCCTTAGCCTTGGTCCCCTCTAGCAACTCACAGCCCTGCCAGCTGGGGCTCCCGGCAGCCCAGGACATGGGTCCACTTTGTGCTTTGTTTGCATTCAGAGAACCAGAACTGGCCATTCCAAAGACCCCCACTCTCTCCCCGCCAAAAAAAAAGTTGCAAAGAAAGAGTTTTTCATAATTAAGTTTCTCTTTTCCTTTCCTTTTAATACAAAGGCACATGGTGTTCTAGATGCTCAAACAATTCATGGAAATATGCATTATGAAAAAACGGTGCATCAAATTCAAATTTCTTTGCACCAAAATAAACATTTTTAATTCCATCCTTGCATGAAGGTCTTGATCCCTAAAAGCATGGAGTTGAGGATCCTGAGCTGCTGTCCCAAACCTTGATTGCTGTTTTTGCTACACCCTAGGCTGAGGTTCCCTGTTCTGCCCACCTCCACACCTCTCCTTGCTTTCTATTCCTGAGATTATCTGGACCCTCCAGCTCTACACAGAGAGGGGCAGTGAGACTCCCCAGCACACAGAGAGAACAAGGTCCAGCCAGCTCTCCTGCGGAAGGGCTTGACCCCTAAACCACACTCCTGCCTCCAAAGCAAACTTTCTTGTGAGGCAAAAGGGTAAGATGATTGCTCTAAATTTACAACTAGGGAAAGAGTTATCCAATAACAGGGAGATAGGGAGTGAAAAGAATGGGTCAGTAAAGGTAAAACGTGTGTGAGAGAGAGACAAAGAGAGAGGGGAAGAGTGTGTCAACCAGATATGTTGGTGTAAATCCACTCACCCTTATAATTATTCTGCATTTTCTACATCCCTTCCTCTGAGGTTGTGTTCACAAATCAGGTGTATGGATATTCAGTGCTACGAGGCTTTTCGGAGGCTCCCCAGAGTGGCCACAGAGGCCCTGGAGAGAACCTGTCATGAGGACTCAGGACAACAAAAGACAAGACGGGGCTGCAGCTTCTTCACCTGCTCTTCCTCTCATGCTCTGATGACAAGGACTCACTTGTTGTGGGAAATTGGAGACAAGAGGACCCAGGTGAGGTGGAAAGAATGAAGTGAGCAAAGTCCTTGCCTTGCACTCCCAGGAATCTTCTGTCCAATGATTCACTCTCCAAACAGCCGCAACAGCTGGAGCTGAGCCAATAGCCAGGCACCTCTTCCGGGTTTTCTGCGTGGGTGCAGGGTCCCAAGGCTTCGGGCCATCCTTCACTGCTTTCCCAGGCCACAAGCAGGGAGCTGGATGGGAAGCGGGACTGCCAGGATCAGAACCGTGCCCCTATGGGATCCCTGGCGTGCAAGGTGAGGACTTTAGCTGCTAGGCTATCACTCCAGGCCTGACAGATGACCTTTCTCTCTGCCTCTCATTTTCTCTGTATATCTGCCTTTCCCATAAAAATGAATAAATAGTTAGAAAAAAATAGAATGCCATCCCAGGAGTTCTGAGTTTTCAACTTAGCCTCACACAACCCCTGTGGCAATCCCCATCATGAGGGAAACCTGGGCACACCCTGGGCTCCACTGCCAGGACTGGTGCCCTGTTGAGGCGCCACACTTCCCGGCCTTATCATCCCTTTTCCTGGAAGTCCCTTGTTCTCTCCTCCACGCCCTTTCATTGAATTTCAAAGACTCCAACTTTGTCTGCGTCTGTGCCCAGACCCACTCATTTTCATCTCTGTGGCCAATGGGCAGCTCTAAGGAAGTGAGCAGAGACAGTAAGAGCATGTCAGAGACACCCCGCCTCTCCCCCACCAACAAATGATGGAATTTTAACCAGGCTACCCATCCACAGAGTGTACTGGATGTGTGGAAAGCAGCTCTGGCCTTTCTCAACTGGAGCAGAAGCAACTACTGAAATGTGAACTTCTGCTTGGTCCCCATGGCTCAATGTAGCAGGAAGCTATGAACAGCACGCCTCTCCTGTCTTCTTGGGTGCCACAGATTCCTAACCCTTGCAAAGGTTTTAATTCTCAAAAGCCTTGGTCCTTCTCCCTTGTTCTCTCCCCACCCTCACTCAAAGTCTGTTCTGTTGAAATGTAGGCTTTTGCATTGTCTTGGGCAGAAGGAAGAAAACTCCAGTAAAGATGGAAACCTATTTGCCAAATGTAAGCACGGTATTGTGGAAGAACATAGTGATAAAGAATGGCATTTTTTCTTGTTTCAACACATAAAGAAGTGTACTTGATGGGAACTTGGTCTGGTTGGGGTCCTAGGAAAGCACGCTCACTCACTTGGGATTCACAGACATTGTCTCATTCTGCTTTCTCATATGCTAGGGAAAAATGATCCTCTTAGATTCTGGCATGGAGAAGAATCTCCTGGGAGATGTATGTAAAATAAATATACACCTTTGGATTGAATGCTCAGCGGTTCTGACTTAAAGCTTTCAGGTTGCATCTGGTATGACTTTCTCAGGCAATTTTGGTACAGATGAGCAAACCCTGCTGTACTTCCAGACATCATGCTCAGAGAAACCTGGTTTTGACAAAATATCAGAAGCATCGTTTGTTGGTCCTGTGGTCTAGGTACCAGAACCGCAATGGAAAATTTCATTAAAGTTAATCCATAACATTTTCTTTGGGACTAGGAAAATCAGGAGGCTCTACTTGTTTATTTACTTTCTTAAAAAATGATTTATTTTTATTTAAAAAGCAGATCAGATTTATAGAGTGAAAGAGATACAGAAAAAAAAAATCTTCCATCTGCTGATTTACTCCTCAAGTGGCTGCAGTGGCCGAAGCTGAGCCTATCTAAAGCCAGGAGCCAGGAGCTTCTTCTGGGTCTCCCACATGGGTGCAGGATCCCAAGGTTTTGGCCAGTCCTGTATTCATTTCCGAGGTCACAAGCAGGGAGCTGAGTGGGAACTGGAGCATCTGGAACATGACCTGGCACCCATAGGCGATCCCAGGGTGTGCAAGGCAAGGATTTAGCCGTGGAGCCATTGTGCCAGGCCCAGAGGCTCTACTTGTAATGGTACCAAACAAATACAACTCTTACTTTCTAGCTACAATGAGCAGTGGGGGGATCAAATATAAATTAACATCAAATATTTGCATCTACCATAAATTCTCAGACATGGAAAGTGAATCATTTTAAACCAAAGAGAGAGAGAAAAAACATTAAAAAGGAACATGGTAATAGAGACATATATTTTTTTTCCTTTGATTAAAAAAATGTCCATAGCCTCTCTCATGCTCATTCTCCAGCATTCTTAGATGGTTCTGAGTCACAGTTTCAGTGTGTTCTTAGCTTCCTGTTTGGCAGCATCTTAGCTTAAAGCTTCCGCTTTCCGTTTCAGGACCTCAGAGCTAATGGGAATATCTCCCAAATGAACCAACTTTGGTCAATTCCCAAAGCGGAAGGAACAAGTGAAGGGAAGCAGGTTAATTAACAGAGCTCTTCCTGAATGCAGCCTCGCTGCTTTGGAGATGTTGCTAATGGGAGAGGAAGGAATATCCCCACAAGATTTTTTCAAAGCTCCCTTACTTGTTTTCCTTGGCCACCTGCACCGACTTTTTGTTTTAAGTCAGAATTTTCCTAAAGACTATTATTAGCTTTGTTCCCAGTACAGCACATCTGAAAAATTCCAGCCTGGTCACTTTTGAAAATGCAACTGATTATATGTTATGAGAATACAATCCATGAGAAAGAAAATGTAACCAGTACAGATAGCTCTGAAAGGATGCCAGGTAACAAGGACAAGGCTCTCTTTTTTTCCCTCCACAATATACGTAATTACAGAAGAAAAGAGCACAATGAATTTTCTAAACCTCTTTACAGATCAATAAGTGACAGCTAATTAGAAAAACGTTCATAGTTGGAAATGATGCAATTAACCTGATAACAGTGAGTTTCCATTTATATTTATATCGTTTAAACAGTGATTTAGTGTAAGAGGTTCCCCTTTTACATTATATTTCCTTGCCTCTTTAAGCATCAAATTTGTCACCCATAAATCAAGCACACTTGATTGTTGTTGGCTGTGACATGTCATGGCAAGAAACTATATGGGAAAAGACACTACCTTAAATCAAATCAAAATTTCCATTATTTTTTCCTGATACCAAATTTTTAGGTAACCATTCATAAAGTGCTAAGTAGATTATCTACTAAAAGACAGGTAGACATTATTTCTCTCCAAGAGGAGAAAAACAGACTTATTTAATCTTTCATTAAATAATTGGCCTGTGCTTTGTAGTTAATGAATGGTGAAACTGGAATTCAAACCTGTATGTGTGTGATTCTTAAGCTCTTGAATCCTGCCGGACTCAGACTCTGGCCAGAGGGAAAATCACACGATGTGTGGTCCAACCTTGGAGTGCATGTGTCGGCACTGGGGCCTCCTCTGTTGCTGATGCCTATGCAAGGAACAGCACATGTGGGATATAACAGCCAACTTGCCTAAGCCAGAAGAGGACAAGG